TCACGGGTGGGGGGGGGCGAGGTTTTTTGGGGTGTCCCCCCCCAAAATTACCTTGTCGAAGTGGTTGAAGGAGGCCCGAAACTCCTGCATCTGCTCTTGGCTGATGCCTTTGGCGTCGCGCGTCAAGATCTGGTTCTCCACCTCGTTGATGGTGCGGGCGATGGTGGTGAGGAGCTGCTCCCACCCCACCCGCAGGTGCTGGAGGGGGGGGAGAAGGAGGACACAAATTTGGGGGGGGGCACCTCCATGGGTGGAGGAACCCCAAGAGGACCCCCCAAAAACCAACCCTTGACCTCCCAACCCGAGGGTCTCCTGGAGAGGAGAAGATGGAGGAGCTTTTTGGAGGACATCAAAGCTCATGGGTGGTCCTTGATGGGGAGGGGAGCACCGTGAGGGTGGGATCTGGAGGTTGGGTGGGTGATGGGCACCCATCTCAACGTCTGGAGGACCTCAAGGGTGGGATCTGGACCTTGGGTGGGCCAAGGGCACCCACCTCAATGCTTGGAGCTCAAGGTTGGGTGGGTGATGGGCACCCATCTCAACGTCTGGAGGACCTCAAGGGTGGGACCTGGAGGTTGGGTGGGTGATGGGCACCCATCTCAACGTCTGGAGGACCTCAAGGGTGGGACCTGGAGGTTGGGTGGGTGATGGGCACCCATCCTGAAGTCTGGAGGACCTCAAGGGTGGGACGTGGACCTTGGGTGGCCCAAAGGAACCCACCCAGATGTCCAGAGGAGCTCCATGAGGTTGGGTGGGTGAAGAGCACCCATCCTTGATGCTTGGAGGACCTCAAGGGTGGGACCTGGGGTTGGGTGGGTGAAGAGCACCCATCTTGATGTCTGGAGAAGGGACCTGGAGGTTGGGTGGGCCAAAGGAACCCACCCAGATGTCCAGAGGAGCTCCATGAGGGTGGCACCTGGAGGTTGGGTGGGTGAAGAGCACCCAACCCGATGCCTGGAGGACCTCAAGGGTGGGACATGGAGGTTGGGTGGGTGAAGAGCACCAACCCTGATGCCTGGAGGACCTCAAGGGTGGGACCTGGAGGTTGGGTGGGCCAAGGGCACCCACCCCAACACCTGGATGGGTGAAGAGCACCCACCCCAACGCCTGGAGAAGACCTCAAGGGTGGGACATGGAGGTTGGGTGGGCCAAGGGCACCCACCCCAATGCTTGGAGCTCCTCAAGGTTGGAACCTTGAGGCTGGATGGGTGAAGAGCACCCAACCTGATGCCTGGAGGACCTCAAGGGTGGGATGTGGAGCTTGGGTGGGTGAAGAGCACCCACTCTGATGCCTGGAGGACCTCAAGGGTGGGACCTGCACCTTGGGTGGGCCAAAGGAACCCACCCAGGTGTCCAGAGGAGCTCCATGAGGGTGGCACCTGGAGGTTGGGTGGGTGAAGAGCACCCAACCTGATGCCTGGAGGACCTCAAGGGTGGGACCTGGAGGTTGGGTGGGCCAAGGGCACCCACCTCAATGCTTGGAGCTCCTCAAGGTTGGAACCTTGAGGCTGGATGGGTGAAGAGCACCCAACCTGATGCCTGGAGGACCTCAAGGGTGGGACCTGGAGGTTGGGTGGGTGAAGAGCACCCATCCTGATGTCTGGAGGACCTCAAGGGTGGGACCTGCACCTTGGGTGGGCCAAAGGAACCCACCCAGATGTCCAGAGGAGCTCCATGAGGGTGGGACCTGGAGGTTGGGTGGGTGAAGAGCACCCACCCTGATGCCGGGAGGACCTCAAGGGTGGGACATGGAGGTTGGGTGGGCCAAGGGCACCCACCCTGATGCTTGGAGCTCCTCAAGGTTGGAACCTTGAGCCTGGATGGGTGAAGAGCACCCATCCTGATGACTGGAGGACCTCAAGGGTGGCACCTGGACCTTGGGTGGGCCAAGGGCACCCACCTCAATGCTTGGAGCTCCTCAAGGTTGGAACCTTGAGGCTGGATGGGTGAAGAGCACCCAACCTGATGCCTGGAGGACCTCAAGGGTGGGACCTGGAGCTTGGGTGGGTGAAGAGCACCCAACCTGATGCCTGGAGGACCTCAAGGGTGGTATCTGGACCTTGGGTGGGCCAAAGGAACCCACCCAGATGTCCAGAGGAGCTCCATGAGGTTGGGTGGGTGAAGAGCACCCATCCTTGATGCTTGGAGGACCTCAAGGTTGGAACCTTGAGGCTGGATGGGTGAAGAGCACCCATCCTTGATGCTTGGAGGACCTCAAGGGTAGAACCTTGAGCCTGGATGGATGAAGAACACCCAACCCCGATGCCCGGAAGACCTTCCAGGAGACCGGGTGGACCCCGTGGTGGGGTTGGACGAAGGTGACCCACCTCCATGGTGTAGTTGGTGTGTTTGTTGTCGAAGATGAGGGCCTCCTGGATGAGCTGGTGCTGCTGCTCCAGAAGGTCCAAGTTGGGTTTGTAGTCCACGATGCTCTGCTCGTACTGCTTGAGATGGTCCAACTGGTCCTCCAAGGTCCCGTTCATCTCGATGGAGATACGTCCGATCTCCTGCAGGACGGGTTGGGTTTAAATCCCACCTTTTTGGTCCTCACCAGTCCTCCCAGTTGAGATACTGGAAGCCTCACCTCCATCTTGGTCTGGATCCAAGGTCCCACCATGTTGGCTTGGCCGGCGAATTGTCTCCGGAGCCGCTCGTTGGACTGTTGTTTGCTCTGCTCGTCCAGGAGAGCGTGGTCCCTCTTGGGCACCAGCTGCTGGACCTGCCAGGAGAAAGAAGATGGTGGGAGGGGGGGGACACGGTGACATCAGAGCTGGGGGGGCCAAGAAAAGATGAAGATGATGATGATGGTTGGGGCCACCAGGGAATGGTGGCTCCAGAAAGTCATGGTTCTCCAGGAGCTTGTGGAACATCTGGCTCCAGGAGCTCATGGAGCATCTACTTCCAAGAACTTGAGGAACATCTGGCTCCAGGAGCTCATGGAGCATCTACTTCCAAGAACTTGAGGAACATCTGGCTCCAGGAGCTCATGGAGCATCTACTTCCAGGAGCTTGTGGAACATCTGGCTCCAGAAGCTCATGGAGCATCTACTTCCAGGAGCTTGTGGAGCATCTGGTTCCAGAAGCTCAAGGAACATCTGGCTCCAGGAGGTTACGGAGCATCTACTTCCAAGAGCTTGTGGAACATCTGGCTCCAGAAGCTTGTGGAGCATCTACTTCCAAGAGCTCACAGAACATCTGGCTCCAGAAACTCATGGAACATCTACTTCCAAGAGCTTGAGGAACATCTGGCTCCAGAAACTCATGGAGCATCTGGCTCCAGAAGGTTATAGAACATCTGGCTCCAGAAGGTTGTGGAGCACCTGGTTCCAGAAGCTCAAGGAACATCTGGCTCCAGGAAGTTATGGAGCATCTACTTCCAAGAGCTTGTGGAACATCTGGCTCCAGGAGCTCATGGAACATCTACTTCCAAGAGCTTGAGGAACATCTGGCTCCAGGAGCTCATGGAGCATCTGGCTCCAGAAGGTTGTGGAGCATCTGGTTCCAGGAGCTCATGGAACATCTGGCTCCAGAAACTCATGGAACATCTGGCTCCAGAAACTCATGGAGCATCTACTTCCAAGAGCTTGTGGAGCATCTACTTCCAAGAGCTTGTGGAGCATCTGGCTCCAGAAGCTCAAGGAACATCTGGCTCCAGGAGGTTATGGAGCATCTACTTCCAAGAGCTTGTGGAACATCTGGCTCCAGGAGATTATGGAGCATCTGGCTCCAGAAGCTCATGGAGCATCTACTACCAAGAGCTTGTGGAGCATCTGGCTCCAGAAGGTCATGGAGCATCTGGCTCCAGAAGCTCGTGGAGCATCTGGCTCCAGGAAGTTATGGAGCATCTACTTCCAAGAGCTTGTGGAACATCTGGCTCCAGGAGCTCCAGCCCCATGGATGACCCCTTTGGGGGGGCTGGTGGGACACACTCACCCGTTCCCACTTGGAGTTGATGATGTTGGGGGTGACGGAGGTGTAGGGGTTGTTCCCCGCCAGTTTGATGCCGTTGACGTCGGCGATGCGTTGGGCCTCCCGTTGGATGCCCAAGATGGCCTCCCGCTCCTTGTCGGCGTCAGGGAGGGTGGACTTGAACTGGTCGTGAGCGGCGATGAGGCCCTGGGGGGGGAGAAGACACGGGGGGGGACAGGTCAGAGCCTGGACCTGCTCTGAGCTCATCCTGACCTTCATGAGAACCTCCTTGGTCTTGTAGAACCTCAAGAGAAGCTCCCTGGGTCTTGTAGAACCTCAAGAGAAGGTTCCTGGGTCTTCCAGACCCCCATACTCTTGAAGAACCCCAAGAGAAGCTCCCCAGGTCTTGCAGAACCACATGAGGAGCTCCCTGGGTCTTCCAAACCCCCACAAGAAGGTCCCCAGCTCTTGAAGAACCCCAA